TTAGAGATAAGGAAAAGTATTTTTAATAAAATAAAATAAAGATTTGTCCATGAATATATATTGAGTACTTGTTTTGAATAGTCTGTGTGCAAAGTAATTTTCATATTAATATTAAAAATACTTTTCCTTATCTCTAAAATCTCAAATTTCCTTTGTGTAATCCCTAAAACCTCCAAATGCATTTCAAACGTTTTTTTCCCACAAAATCTTTATAGTTTATCTATTATTTTCTCTACCCTATCTCAAAATGTGATCATTCAATTCGACCAACCTTGTAACCACCAAAATAAAATCGAAATAAACCTAAATTAACCTTTTTTTTTTTGGCTTTGAAAGACTGCTAAATTTCATGAGCATATACCCAATATATTGAGAGTTATAAGTATTAAATTTATAATGACTTTAAACGAATACAAAAGGTCAGATGACTCGGTCAAATTGCCCGACCCCATGTTGAGAGAGTTATAAAATCCTCAATCTCCTTTAGTATGAGAATTATGACAGTTGCTCTCTTGGTCTTCTTTCTTCACTAATGTATTTACCACCACTCCCACAATTACGAATGTAATGTAAATTACTCATTATAATATAGTTAATAATCATGCAAAGCATAATTTTTATAGCCTTCAATCTTTGTTTAAGAAGCCATAAACTGGATAATCAGACCCACTTGCCATGCTCACCTGCACATTCTGTCTTTCACCAATTGTCAATAGTTCTCTCTGATGTATTATACTATATAATTTATAACCAATAAAAGCCAAAGTTTTAATCTATCAAATTATATGTTGTTTTCTGTACAGAGAATTGTTTATTACCCTTGCATTTCAATCTTTTTCCAATAAGAAACACATTGAGGAGCTTAGTTGAATTTTTAATCGCTTTTATTGCATGGTTACAAAGCCCGAAAAATGTACAACTTCAGTACCTGATGATGACAAAACCTTGTCGAAACGTTGTACATTTGCTGTCATGTTAAGCTTATATTAAAGTTTCTCTTCATTACCCATTTAAGCCGTCTCCAGCCATTATTGTTTGCTATTATTCTGTGTTCTTAGGTGCATTATTTAACTCTCTTCCTATGAGGTTGGTCGAATCAACTGACCTCATAACCATTTTGTACTCCTCATAGTTTTCATACTATAATGTTAAATACATTTAATATATCTTAACAAAATTTGGAAGACTTTTAGGAAACATTAAAAGTCTGTTGTACACAAAAAATCAGATTTCTTAATGAAATATTTTTACTAAAGATTTATCCATCAATATATATAACATTTCTATATAGTAGTCTGAGTGCAAAGTGATTTCCACATTAAGATTAAAAATGCTTTTCTTCGTCTCAATAATTTCAAAGTTTATTTATGTAATCTCTAAAATAGTGAGGGAAGGGTGTTCTGGCTGAAAGAAAGATAAGGAAATGCATTTCCCACACCACTACATATACATCTATTTAGACTGAACTTTTATTGTCTAACTACTATGTGTGCCATAATTACATTATGCATGAGTTACTCACAACCATATATCATGAAAGCAATTATTATATTTTTATTATTATTATTTATTTCACCTAATTTAATCTTAACTAACATAAAAGTTTCCTATTTTTCCATTTTAGTTATTTTTAGAATAATAAATATAGAATACACATAAAAAAGTACTTACCTTTTTTGTTTTTGCTCTGGGCTGTTGATGACACTTAACCATACTTTTTTATACTAATGGTAGTACTGCACTAAGTAATTTTTATTTAATTAAATAATCACAAAAAAATACAGAATAATAACGTGCAAAAAGCAGACAATGTCCTCTAACTATCACAGGTTTGATGGCTTTCTAACTATGCAACAAGAGCTGTTAAAACTTCATCCAAGCTCGTTGATGTGTTTCCTGTGGGAATCAAGCTTAAACTGAAAGTGTAAATGAGAGTTATCTTTACAAAAAACAAGGTAATATAACATTTCATTTGATAGATGAAAACCTTGGCTTTATATTGGTTATAGAGAACTATTGATAATTTCCGAATGTAACAGGTAGGTGTGGCAAGAGGGATCTGATTTTCTATTTCCTGGCTCTGAAACCAAATAAGACTGAAAGCTATGAAAATTATGCTTTGCCCGAGCAATAACAATAATATAATGAGTAATTAATGTTGAATTTTGTACTCTTGAAGGGGTGATAAATAAATTAGAGAAGAGGGGATGCTTTCTTAATATTGCCTTATAAAAACAAAACTTGTATACTATTAAAATATAGGTTACTAGCTATTTTTTATGCTATATTTAATGGTATATCAGTTAAAGAAAGTAGTTTAATTAAATTTTGAATGTAACTCACTAAAATCTCATGACTTACACTGGAAAAGATGCCTGTGGAGAGAAGGTTAATTAAATAAAAAATTATTTAGTGTAGTAGTAGTACCATTAGTATTCAACAGCAAAAAAAAAAAACCAGATAAATACTGCATTTCATGTTTTTCATGAGTATTCTTTTATCTATTATTTTAAAAGTAACTAAAGTGTAAAAAATGAGAAACTTATTAGGTTAGATTAAAAATATAAAAACAATTTCACAAGATAGGCTCATAAGCAACTCATGCATTACATAATTTGATAGGATAATGTGAGCTACATTTTCCCTGAGTGATTTACAACTTGTGTGGTGGGATTATTAGTTATGCACAATTAAAATATAATAATAACATTTAAATAGGAACATATG